CCCTCCGCACCACTGAGGCGGCTCCTCGGGGCTGGCAGATAGCAAAACGATGCTGATAAACGAGTGATCTGTGGAGAGCTGCCTAAGCACCCAGCCATCCCTGCAGCTACGTTTTTGAGCTTAACCTCATCTGCTCCTTGGCATTCAGTTCCTCACCAGCAGCCTGTGTTCTGGGAAAGCCCTCAGCTCCGGCAGGATGGCCTGCATGGCGAGCCCAGGCTGGAGGGGGTGGCGGGAACACAGCTGGGCCCCAGCTTGCTTTGGCACCCCCAGTGCTGGAAGGGATGATTGCAGCGCCAGTGGATATATCTGTTTCAGTCCTGCTAGCTCAGCAGATAATAGTGGGGAAATTACCTGGGATGGGCTTCAAAGTGCTTGCACAAGACCCTGGATGCCAAGTAACTATCCGATGCTAAAGTCTGTCCCAACCTGCTTTCCTTGTCATTCACATCCTACATTAAAAGTAGTATTGGATTTGCCTTTCCTGCACTGCAATTCCCCTCTCCAGCTGCCAGATATAGAGGGGTCTTGCACCACCTGAGGGACAGAAACTTCGCATCAGCCGAAAGCTTTCCTTCCCCTGCACTCTTCCCTGCATGTCCCAAGAATGAGCCGAGGCTGCTGTTGTGTCCTTTCCTCTTGTCCCTGCACTGATGCTGGGTTGAGGAGGAGAAATGCATCATAATGTGTGTGAAGTTGGTGTCTCTTCAGGAAATGTGGTGAGACCTTAATAAGGAAGGGTACATTACTGATAGAAAAATGTGGGTCAATCCACACTTGGCTCCAGTTGGAGCCAAGAGAAGACAATTCTCTTCAAAAATAATTTGACTGTGGGAGGACTGTTGCAGGAAGAAGTTGGGAATAATAAGAAAAAGTCAGTTTCTGAGAGCAAAGTCATATTTGTGGCTGATGTAGGTTTAGGTATGGCAGTCAAAAATTTTGGACGATGACCCACTAGTGGGGAAGTGTGATTAAATATTAATGGATTCGTTAGCCCTGTAGCCTTCTCTGAAACGTTTGTCACAGCTCACATTCCAGAACTGAGATGCTGTTCAGGAAAAAAGAGGTCAGCTTCTTGAAAGGTGAACCAAGGCAGCTCACAGAGACACCTTCTGTCAGGCACAGGAAGGTGGAATCTGGAATCCCATTACTGCAAATTTGCTCTGCAAATTAAGCCTCTGGGGACCAGTTTCAAACAGAAAAGGAAGGCTGTGAGCTTTGCTGCCTGTGCCAAGGATGGTAGCTCTTGCAAATAGGTTTTGAGAATGCGTTGCTGGTGAGCCTGTGGTGCCATGGTGCTGCTCCCTGCAACAGGGAAGTGTAGGAGGGAAGTGAAAGCTGTTGGCTTTCCAGCTGAACTGCCCTGCACTTGAGGTAGCCACGCTGTTTCCGACTTCACAGCACCAGTAAATGCTTCAGGTTTGAAATATTTGCATCTGGAAAAAGGAAGTGAGGTTGTCATTTTAGACCACAGATAAATAAACCTCTGCAGATCGCTGCTAGCAGGTTTTATGTGTAGGATTCCTGAGTTACATCTCAGGAATCTGAGTTACATCTCCAGAGAGATCTAGATCCCATTGTGCCAGGCAGAACCTACTCCAGATGTGTGTGCCTGTACCTGGGGAGAGAGTGGCTGTGGTGATCAGTTGCCTTTTTGAAGACCTTTCTAGACTAGCCATCACACACTGTTTAACTTTCCTGTGTCACAGACTGAAATCAGCCTGTGTCCAGCCCACTTCTGCTGCTGCTCAGGCCCTGTGGGCAGCGTGGCAGGAATCACACAGCCAGCCTTCAGTTCTTTGGCTGGAGAGTTTTCCACAGCCTGGGCAGGCACTGAAGGCTGAGCATTCCAGAAAAGGAAACCTACCTTTTCCTGCCTGCATCTGCCACCTGGCAGGTAGATGATGGAGCAGAAACCAGTGTATAATAGGAATTCTGCCTAAAGATGAGGAGGAATCAGTGGTGAAAAGGTATTTCAGTGTATCCATGTGGCAAGAGCATGAGTAGCCAACCCCAGGTTTGCTCTGGCCACTGCTGCCTGCTAAGGGTCTGCAAGTTTGCAGGTGGCTTTTGACCCTGGTTCATTACCCTTTGCACTGTTCTAAATAATTTATATCTTCATGTGGCTGACAGTTGTCTGGGAATCTGTCCAAGCCTTTAAATGAAAGGCCAGGAGAGGGAATTGGTTTTCTATTTATGACTTTGTAACTTAACACCTGCCCAATCTGTGGCAAGTCACTTGGGGCCAGATTCTTAGAGAGGCACATTAGTGTGGCCTCCTCATTTTTGGGTCTCTTATGGTGTCCAGCTATAGCTTTAAATGCCTTCAAAAATTAATTCCTCAGAGTTCCTGGCTCAGCTGTCACTTAAATCTGGAGGTACCTTCCACTTTTTTAATGTGAAAAATTTCCTACTGCTTCCCACACTTGGATGCATGTTAGTTTTGATGCTGTTGAGTAGTGTCCTTGACTGATTCACTGGGTATTAGATGTTTCTCCATCTACAGAGTTCAAATCTGAAGATAGAAACTTGTTTCTTGCACTGAAATCCACTCAAAACATAAGAGGAAAGTGGTCTCACTCTCTCTCACCTGTCCCTACCCTCCTTTTTTTTGATCTGGTAATGCTGTGTTTAAAGTGTTTGTCCTAGTAGGAGACCTCAAATCACCCCCCCAATTTCCAGGAGAGCATCCTCTCTGAGGGGGTGGAATGGCACTCCCCTGCTGAGGCTGCCTTGTTACAGGAGCTTCCTGGGGTAATCACTGCTCTAGACTACCTGTGGGCCTCACATCTCCAGCTAAATGGGATTAATAATATTTTCCTGGCTAACAGAGCAGCATGAGAGCTGATTTATCACCACTGTCAAGTGTGTCATGATCCTAGGGGAAAAAGGATAAAAGCACAATGGAGCTAAGATGTTTGAAAGGGCTTGTTGACAGACACATGTGCAATTCAAAATTGTGACTCTGTTCCATGCTTAGCTCAAATCACCATTCTTTGTGCTGCACACATGCTTCTCCCTGGCTAAGTGCAATGAGGATTTCCAAAGATTAAAGCAAAGCCTTGCAGAACCAGCAGCCTGGAGCTCCAGGCTTGGCTCTGCCTTTATAAGCCTGATTTCTACAGATGCCAAGTAACCTGCAGATGCCACTTTGGTTTTGGTGATCATACACAGATTGAAGAGCAAAGCTTTTAGCAGAAACCCTCACCTGGAGGCAGTGGGAGAGGAACTGACTCGTATTTGATATTTGTCCACCTTCTGGTAAGAGGCAAAGTCAATGCTCTCCCTTTATTCAGTGGTCAACAATGCCAAGTTAAACTTTGGAAACCATTTTTTGAAGTTCACTCCCCCATCTGGAAAGAGTTAAGGCTGCCTTAAGAACTGTCTCTGCCTTCAAATTGCCCTTACCCAGGGTTGTGGTGCTTTATCAAAAAA